AGCCGCTGGCGGCTCCCTGCCAGGCGGGCCGCCCGCGTCTTCCGCCGTCCGGGTGGTTCGCGCCGCTCCCCGCCCGGCCCGCTCCTCCGGTCCTGGTCTCGTGAGTCAGCCCCCGGCTCTGGGGTGGGAGGTCGGGGCTGCGCGGCCGGAAGGCGAGGGGCGCCGCGGCGAGGAACGGCGCTGGATCGGGACCCGAGCCGGAGGCGCCGGAGAGAGGTCGAGGCTTTTTGCAGCCGTGGTCCCGGAAGCCGGTGCCCGCGCACGCTTTGCTTCTGAACGCCAATTAAGGGGCTCCGAGGACCGGCTTCAAGTGCCAAATCGACGGTCCCCGGTCCCTTTACTTCAGCGGATCGAGGAGCCTGCCCAGGAGGCCGGTTCTGGGCGCCCGCCCGTCTCCCCCGCAGCCCGACGCAGAGCCCCTGGTGGGGGCCCCAGGCCAGGCCTGTCCCCTGGGGACTCGTCCGCTGCGCCTCCTGGACCGCGTGCACTGACCGCCCGGGTGACCCACTTAACCTCCCTGGCCTCCGTTCCCTGCCCAGTGGAATAATGGTCCCACCGAGATATCAGGGTAGCTGTGTGCATGCGGTGCGGTGTGGCGCGTCCCAGGAACCGGAGTCCAGCTAACGTTTCCTTGTGTAGATTTAGTGAAATAACACCACCTTACATATTTATCTTACTCATTTCTTCTGAGACAGAGAAATAGACACCCTGGTACGTTCTTCATGCACTGTCCGCCTCATCCAGCCCAGATCACTGGCATGCATGTGCCCGTGTACAGGGAGGGAATATATGGGTGAATCCTGGAGCCTCCCTGTGGGTCTAACATGGTAGAGCATTTTGCCACCTCTTGACCCCAATCTAAAGTTTGTATCCACCCATTCTGAGTGATCTGTGTGGTCCTTAACTCATAGGCTATTTTCTTCATGAACTCTAAAATACTATTACTATTTTATTCTCACATAGGGAAGCTGGTATTGAAATAAGAGAAGAAATTGGCACAGGGGACCAGCAGGTGGCATAATGGTTATGTTGCTGGACTCCCATGTTTTTGACAGCAGTTTGAGTCCTGGACCCAGCAGCTTAAAACTCATGCTAGGCACATGTGTGTGCATGCCCTAAATCCTGAGAGAATGGAGGAGAAGGGGTTGGCCATTTCCCCTGGGGGTGATTTCTTGCTTTTTTTCTCTCTGGCAAGTACAAGCACCCTATAGCAAAAAAACAATCTCTAAAAGCAAAAGAAATTGGCAAATGGTCTCACAATTAGTAAAAGTTGGAACCAGGATATAACCCAGGTGTGGAGAACTCGAAAGTCTGTGCACATTATGAACACGTCGTCTTCCATCATTGCCATCCTTAGTCTAAGTGACATTACTTTCAGTGCTGAGCTCTAGGATTTATGAGAAGTGCTTACATTATCGGTTTCTCTCATAAGCTGTTGTCACTTTTTTATATAAACAATTTTCTTTTGCTTAGGAGGGAGCCTCCGAGGGTGAGTCCTGAACCACAGATCCAGTTGGAGGTTGCCTTTCAATATATTCGAGATCAAGATGAATGCGGACTCGGAGCTTCTGTCTCTGGACGTCTGCATGCCTGAGGCGTGTGACGAGCTGACAGTGAAAGGGGAGTCGAAAACTGGCCTCTCAGGGCACGAGTCCAGCCTGAAACGTGATAATTCACTGGCTAGGGAGACCTTCCGTAGACACTTCCGGCAGCTCTGCTACCAGGAGACCCCTGGACCGAGGGCGGCTCTCGTCCGACTGCAGGAGCTTTGCTACCAGTGGTTGAGACCCCACGTGAGCACCAAGGAGCAGATTTTAGACCTGCTGGTGCTGGAGCAGTTCCTGTTCATCCTGCCCCAGGAGCTCCAGAGTTGGGTGAGAGAGCACTGTCCAGAGAGCGGGGAAGAGGCTGTGGTTCTGCTGGAGGACCTGGAGAGGGAGCTGGATGAGCCACAACCCAAGGTAGGCACAGGTTGCTATGGCACAGTGTCTTTGTGGGATCAAGCACCCTATGTCCTCTGTGTCCCCTCAACTTCGGTCATAAAACATGACCTGGGGCCGGCAGGTGGTGTGCTGGTTAAGGGCGCTGGACTCCCACGTGACCAACTGTGGCTCAAGTCCTAGACCTGGCGACTTGCTTTCTCGTTTTCTCTCTCTCGCTCGCTGTCACTCTCTGGTCAAATTGAAATAAATAAAGTTAAATTTTTAAAAAATCCTTAAAAAACAATAAATAAAATAAAATAAGGCCCTTCTCCCTGCTTCTGTTTTCCTAGAAAGTGTTTCTTCAGACAGTTCATTTCTTTAGAAGTCAAGTTTTGTCTCTTTGTCTCCAGATGGGAGTTCACAGGCACAGACAAGATGCCCTGTCTAAAGAGGTTGTGCCTCTAGAACAACAGATGTCACTGAACGTTCAGTCACAACAACAGGAGTCCCAGCTCCTGGGTGCCCCTGCGCAGGAGTTCCCTTCTATTGGAGAAACAGGTGAGGGACAGAATTTGTCTGTTATTGAACATGTCTCACCTGGTAAAGCAAAAACAGCAGAAATCCTGGCACCAGGTAATAGGTCCACAGGCTCCTTACTGGGCAGTGCGGTGCTCAGTGCTTCTGTGTGCCCGTGTGCACAGCTCTGTCGCCCTCCTCTGCCCAGTCCGCTACCTGAATGCCACCCTGCCCCCTGCACTTCTAGCACCTGGCATGTTAGGAAGGCTTTGAGGAATCGCCATGTGCCCAGCCGTAGAGAACAGGCTTTAAGTTTCGACAGACAGGTTCACACACGGCTTGTCATGGTAGCTACCTGTACTGGGCAGCTTACCTCTCTCATCTACAAAATGGGGTTGATAATAGGATTGTTTTAGTCTACCTGACAAGCAGAGTGCCACAGACTGGGTGACTTAAACAACAGGAATTCTTTCCTCACAGTCCCTGAGGCTGGAGCTCGCTCTGCTGCGACCTTCCTGCTGTGTTGGCTGTTGTCTTGCTTTACCCTCATGCGGCCTCCTGTGCACTGCAGAGGGAGCGGGTTCTGGTGTCTTTTCCTCTTCTTTTAGGGACACCAGTCCTGTCCGATGGGACTTGTACCTAGTCTCATTGGCTTCTCAGTTACGTCTCTAAAGCTCTCTCCCAATAGAGGCCCACTGAGAGAGTCTCCACACACGAGCTGTATGGGAACACAGGGTAGCCTCGAACTGAAGTATGTGCCCCAAGACCTTGTTCTGAGGTATGGAAATACATGAAAGGCATTTGGCACGCAGTACGCCCAGCGGATGTAGCGGATTGTACCCGAGCGCCCCGAGCCAGCCTTGCTGATTGGGGTTCACACTTGGAGCAGAAAGACGGGATGTGCTTAGTAAGCGACAGACTGCAGGGGAGAAGCTCGTGGACTTGGACCTGCCCTTTCCTCGCATGTAGGACTGGTGGGGCCGCCATCACCTGCCTTCCAGTTGTCGCTCTCCCTGCAGGAGTCAGCTCTAGATTCTTATTTCTCACATGTAACTTCATGGCCTCTGACTCTTAACCTTCCAGTCGGTCTTCATTAGGGTTCTGCTGTTTTCAGCTTTACCATGTAATCACAATTTCCTTGTCTCTCTGCTTCTACCTTTATTTTGTCTGCCCAGGCAACTACGTAGTTACTGTGGGTTTCTGTTACATGGGACATACCTCTTAATTTAAATTAAAATGTTTTTGTTGAGAAATTCTGTGCACACTGCAAACCTTCCTCTGGGTCCTATGACCTTGCCAGATTAAAAGTCTTCCGGTTTAATTTTCCTCCATTATGAGCATCTTCCCACACAGTTTCTTTTCTTCTTCTCCCTGTGAACTTGGACTTTTCATTTGCAAGTCATCTTCTCCTTTCTTCTGTCTTCCAAAGTACGTCTAGAACCCTGCCAAGAATACCCTCTTCAAGGAAGCGCCTCTGAGTAAATTTACCCACCCACACATCCGTCTGTAGGGCACCGTCGTACCCGGGCAACCCAAGGGGTCCGAGGGACACCCTGCCAACTGTTCTCTCCATTTCTACCCACGCCTCTAGGAAAGGTCTGCGTAGGCTGGCCGCACACTGTCCAGTATGGACTGGTCCTTTATCTCAAGTGCCAGTCCTGGGGCAGGTCGGCTGAGACCATAGTATTAGAATTGATTTCATTTTATTCATTTATTCACTCAACAAGTACTTTTTGGGCAACTGCTATGTGCCACACCTGGTTCTCGGAGTAAAACAGATCCTTCGCTCCTGGAGATAGATTGGAGCAAGGGGAGACAACAGTAACTTAAAAGTGAGCAGGTGGTAGATGATAGAAGGCCATGAGTGCTCTGGAGTAGTGTAAGAAAAATCGCAAGATAAATGAGATCAAAAGCACTGTGGTTGAAGCAAATAGATTGCACTATTAAGTGGAAGAATTAAGATGAGCCTCACTGAGCAAGTGGGACTTGAGCAAGACTTTGAAGGAAGTGAGAGCGGGCCTTGCTCTTGTGTAAAATGAGAACTTTCCAGGAGGAGGATGTGCTAGGGTGAGGCCTGGAGGTGAGGATGTGTTTTGGTTGGTTGTGGATCTTAATAATTATTTTGTATGCAGATGAATACACAAAGTAACTTCCTTTGAGAAAAGTCACTCGGACTGAAGTTCTCTGTCTCAAAAAGGAAAGCGTTCCAAGGGAAATCTCCAGAGAAGTGACCCCATCTTTGTCCTCCTTCCCCATGAAGAAGTATAAAATGTCTACCCAGGCCAAGTCTTCAGGGGACAGACTATATTTTGCCGAAGAGGGCAGACTTCCCTAGTTGCCTCAAGGAATGTGTTACCACTGGTCCTTCAGAGTCTAACCTCTGAATTCTGTTTATTTCTGTGGACAAAGTCACCCACCTGTAGGTTCAGGGAACAAGTGATGTTTACCTAACTTTTCTTTTTTTTTTTTTTGGAGAGGTTTTTGCTATAGGGCACGTGTGCTCACCAGACAGACAGAGAGAAACATAGAGACAGAAAGCGAGAAATCACCCCCCAGGGGGGATGGTCACGCCGCAATCCCTTCTCCATTCTCCTCTCGGGATCTTGGGCACACACGCACACACGCCTGGTGTGAGTTTTAAGCCACTGGGTCCAGGACGCAAACCGCGGTCGACTACGTGGGAGTCCAGCAACATAGCCATTACGCTAACTGCTGGTCCCCCTAACTTTTTTGTTTTAGATGAAGTGACCAAGAATGAGGACAGAGAGTTGGTGCTAAGGGAAGACTGTCTCAAGACAGCGGAGCCACATGGGCCAACACCACATGGGCAGACCTGTAGGGTACCACCTCAGGACCCTCAGCGTGGAAAAGCTGGTGGGCCTAAGGGTTTACTAGAGAGACAGTGTGGGCACCCCTTAGCAGAGGGGGGACATAAGTGTGACGAATGTGGGAGGAGCTTTGCCCAGAGCTCAGGGCTCGTCCGCCATAGGCGGATCCACACTGGAGAGAGGCCCTATGTGTGCAGTGAGTGTGGGAAGACCTTCCGGTGGAGGTCTGGCCTTTTCAGTCACCGAGGCATCCACAACACGCAGAAGCGCTACCACTGTGAGGAGTGCGGGAAGGCCTTCAGCCAGAGCTCGGGGCTGATCCAGCACCAGCAGACCCACCGCGGGGACAAGCCCTACCAGTGCGGCCAGTGCGGGAAGGGCTACGGCCGGCGCTCCTTTCTCATCGAGCATCAGCGGAGCCACACGGGCGAGCGGCCGCACCTGTGCATTGGCTGCGGGAAACGCTTCAACCGCCTCTGCAACCTCATTCGCCACCAGAAGACCCACACGGTGGCCGAGCGTGACCAGCACTAGCAGGACACGTTCCTGTCCCCGAGTGAGTCATGCGCACTGGGAGACGGGAAATGCCTTCCTCGCTCCCCTAGCTGCGTCTGGAGTGGATAGGATGGCGCCTGTGGTCCAGGAACTGCCGCTCTCCCTGTGTTCGTTTACCCCTGCTTGTTCTTACTGCCCTGGTCTATTTGCTTATTCCCTTTGAGATAGCTGCTAAACCCTCTACTGAGAAGAAACGTTCCCAATGGCAACGCTACAGCCAATGTGCCTGGAAGACCTGTTGCCTGCTGGATTCCTAGAGGTGGCCAAGAGCTCTGCTGGGCCCTCGGCGTCCCCTCACCCAGGTTCTCGCTGGACCCTCGGCGTCCCCTCACCCAGGTTCTCGCTGGCCCCTCAGCGTCCCCTCACCCAGGCTCGTGCTGGAAACTCCTTGTCTACCTCACAGCTTCCCTCTGACGCATTTGCTTTTCCCAAAACACTGGGCATGCCGACTCAGAGCACCCATCCAGCCTACCACAGTCCTCACGACCAGCACACGGACAAGTGACTGTTACCACCATCCATTCTGAGACTCAGAATACCCAAGCATATACCCTACACTTTATTCTTGGTGACCTTATTTCGGAATGATTTTAGAGTTATGAAGAAGTTGCAGAGTTAGCCAGAGTGTGGTGGTTAAGGTAGCTGCATTGCCAACTGTGAGGTTCAAGTCCTGGGCCCAGCAACCTGAAAAACTTGTTGGACGTGTGTGTGTGTCTCAGATCCTGAAATGAGAATGGAGGAGAATTTGTGGTGTGACTCCACTATGGGGAGTGCTTTTTCACACTCCCTTTCTATGTCTCTGGTAAGTGCACATGCCCTCTAGCAAATAAAAATTGCAGGGACCAGCAGTTAGCATAATGGCTATGTTGCTGGACTCCCATGTAGCTGACCACAGTTTGAGTCCTAGACCCGGTGGCTTAAACTTACACCAGGCGATATTCTCCCTGGGGAGTGATTTTTCACTTTCTGACTCTGGTTAGCACATGTACCCTATAGCAAAAACCTCTCCAAAAAAATAAATTTGCAAAGGTAAGTAGAGCTCTCATACACCCTCCCCCAGGTTCCCCTAATGTTAACAGCGAACACCTTGTCTTTTTAGTTAAAGCCTGATTTTTGACTTCAAATCCAAACCTCTGTGATACCGTGCTTCATACTGACATCAGCTCTCATTTACGCTGAGTCACCTGAAACCCTAGTGCTTTTCTCTCATCTGTAGTGTGACCTGATAAGGCCGCATCAGGAAACCGGACGCCGTCCAGATAAGGTGCTGTGCGAGCTGCTGCCCAGACTCCTGAGCCTTCCTCATCTGTGCTGGGTGTAGACCTGGAGAAACGTTTCCACCCCATGCAGATCTGTTCAGAGCACTAGGCTGGGTGGTGGGACACCAGTGAAGTTGATGTTCTGGGTCCCGCGTGGTAAGGTTTCCGGTTAGAAACCTCCTCCCAACACCAGGCACACACGTCATGGTCAGGGCCTGCTGAGACGGTAGATCATGGCACTGGGACCCTGTTGAGGTGCTGTCTCAGTGCTTTTCTCTTGATCATGGACCAGCCCAACTGCAAGAAATCAGAGAAGAGCTATGTAGTCTTGAGTGTTTTGCCTGCAAAGGACATGCTCAGTGAAGTTTATTCATTGGAGGAGGAATCGGGATTAAACGAGACTTGAGATTCTGAAAGGCTCTGCCTCCCCTCTTTCATCACCCCCCCTTATTTTATTTATTTATTTATTTTTGAGAGATTTTTGCTATTGGGAGAAACAGACCAAAAGCGAGACATCACCCCCCACCCCCAGGGGATGGCCATGCTGCAATCCCTTTTCCATTCGCTTCTCAGGATTTGGGGCATGCACCCAGCATGAGTTTGAAGCAGCCAGGTCCAGGACTTGAACCACGGTCAGCCTTACATACTGATCCCATCATTCCTTCATAACAACATTTCTCTACCAGAGCTGCAGTCTTATCTATTTGACTTCATGTTTAGAGGTTTTGTTTTTGTTTTTGTTTTTTTGTTTGTTTTTTTGCTATAGGGCATGTGCGCTCACCAGAAAGAGACAGAAAGAAAGTGAGAAATCATCCCCCAAGGGGGGATGGCCACACTGCAATCCCTTCTACATTCTCCTCTCTGAATCCATAGTCATTACGCCCACTGCTGGTCCCTATGTTTGGAGGTTCTCTGAGAGGTGGAAGTGAGACAAGACTCTTCAGTTTGCTCAGGGTGACGGCATAAGCATTTGTGCTTTGCCATTTTCAGTGACTGCTGTTCCCCTCAGGTTAGGCAGCTCCTGAGCTGGATGGAAGAGCCTGTAATTTGCTATGGGAAATTCAAATGGAAGTGGAATTTGGAAAGCATCCAGAGCAAACAGGGTGACCCTCAGATACATGCAGAAATGCACTTCTGTGAGCTTTACCAGAACACGCCATCTGCCTGCTGTTGATCATCTTTCCTGATGTTGATACACCGAGACCCAGCAAGGCAGTATGAGGCTCAGGGAAGCCACAGATGTTCATCAGATTTCACCCCAAAAAGATCTGAGAAATTACAAGGCACCAGTTGTTTTTGCATCTTCAGGCGATTTACATCCAAAAGCAACTGGCTCTGCATTCCATTTCTTCTTCCCCATTTTCTGACCTTTAAAAGAATAAAACTGAGGCTGGTTCCAGGTCCTGTCTTTCTCCATCAGAGAAGTCAGGCCCACCCGATCCTCACTTTTCTATACGTGTGTGTCTTTGTGTGTGTGTGTGTGATGTTTATTTCTAACCCACAGCCCCCCCGCTCAGAAGGACGTTCAGCTGAGCAGGTCCCAGCAAGTGGGGCCTGAACACGGGGCAAGTCAGGCGAGTGGACCCTCCTTGAAGCTGGCCAGAGATGGCTAAGGTAAGGAACCTATGGAGTAGGACAAAGAATATAGAGTAGAAGAGGTACCAGAGTAAAATAAGGAGCTACTACAGCAAGAGGAGTGGGTTTGATTATTGTCGGTGTAAAACATGGCGACACAGTTGGGACCAGCAGTTAGCATAATGGCTATGTCGCTGGACTCCCACATAGTCGACCGTGGTTCGAGTCCCAGACCTGGTGGCTTAAACTCATGCCAGGCGCGTGTGTGTGTGTGCCCAAGATCCCTGGAGGAGAATGGAGGAGAATGGGTTGTGGTGTGCCCATCCCCCCCTGGGGGCTGATTTCTCGCTTTCTATCTTTCTGTCTCTCTCTGTCTTTCTGGCAAGCGCATGCGCCCTATAGCAAAAAACAAAAATCCTCCCCCCCCCAAAAAAAAAACAAAAACCCATGGGGACACAGTTGTCTAAAGAGAGACGTATGTTCAAATGTCGTACATGTTAAAGCTAGGGGTACAGAGTTAGTATCAAGCAGTTACATCGGTTCCTGAATTTTGTGCAGGAAACATGCCCTTGGTTCCCAGAGCAAGAAACAGTTTGTGAAGAGACCTGGGACGAGGTTGGAGAGCAGCTCAGGGAACGATTCACAACAGAGGGTCCTAGCAGGATTCCCATTCTGGCTACCTCCCTGTGGAACTTAAGTAAGGAGTGCTTGAGACATAACCCTCCAGGGAAAAGCAGAGCTGGCTTAGTAACTCTGCTGACACACCCTCCAGAGGGCTATGCCTCCCTCCCACTAAGAATAGAGAGGTAATGCCTGGTAAAGAAGACTAGTCTGGAAGTTAGATTTAAGATGACAGATGAAGCATTTGCAGGGGGGAGAACAGAGCCGCTGCCCTTTGGCCTAGTGCTCCCCTACTGCGCCGGCCCTGCTTCCCAGTCTAGGACGGAAAGAACAGCTCCCGTAACCCCCCCTCCCTCCAGAGAGCTTTGGATTGCGTGGCAGAGAAGAGGACACTTTGGGGTTTACATTATGCCCTGTTATAGAGACTCCGGGTCCTGGCAATCCAGGATGAGCCCATACCCTTTAGAACTCTAGAGTGAAAAGCGGCTTATGGGCAGTGTGGTCCTAGAGACAGCTGCTCAATGTGCATCTAACCCTAATGGTTGGCAAGTGTGGACAAGGCTTGCCGGACCTGCTCTGAGAGGGGAGGCTTGGATTAGAAATAAATGGAACAGCAAATACACAGGCACGCAAGTATAGAAAAGAGCATCCCGTTTACCCATCGCCCAGATCCAACAGCTGTCAACTCATCTATACCTCCTCTCGTTCCTCGGGATGATTTTAAAGCAAACCTAACCGCTAAGTGTTCATTCAGGTTGAGAACATTAAGCAAGTCTGGTGTCGGACTCCTCTCTTGATCCGCGTCTCATGTATAGATACAGATATGTTTTCATATTGCTCTGCTGAATGAGTGGTCCAGGAGGATCATGACATGGGGAGACCCTGTCTTTAAAAGGAGGGGGAAAGCAGTAAGTGAGGAGTGTGGGAACATAGAGGACATGAGGTGTATAGAAAACAAAAAATGGGGACAAATCCAAATAAATCAATAGTTAATTAAATGAATGTCTGCACCAATCTAATCAATAGGCGAGATTGTCACAGTAAAAAAAAAATACAAAGTGTCTACAGAAAACACTTTGTATTCAGATATAAGAAAGTTAAAAGTAAAAGAAACTATGTATCATAGAAACAACAACCATAAGAGGTGCCAGCAGGTGGTGTCCTGGTCAAGGGTGCTGGACCCCGCGTGACTGACCCTGCGTCAAGTCCCAGACCTGGTGGGTTGCTTGCTCACTTTGTTTCTCTCATTCTCTCTCTCTGTCCCTCTCCGGCCAAATTAAACAAATTCATAAAGTTAAATAACATAATTATTTAAAAAAAAAAAAAGAGTAAGAAACACCAGGCATGGATATACTAATGTAAGATAAAATAGACTAAAAAATTTTACTAGAGATATAGTCCCTCTCAGGCCAAATTAAATAAAGTTAAATAAAATAATTTTTTTAAAAAGTAAGAAAGCAGGCATGGATATACTGTTAGACAAAATAGACAAAAAAAATTTACTAAACATGTAGAGAGAAATTTTGACAAAAGCAGTCCATCAAGAAGACAGCAATTATAGACATAAATATGCCTAGCAATAGGGGCCCAAAATTCATGTAGTAAAACCTGACAGAATTAAAGAAATAGACAATTTGAAAACAATAGTTGGAGATGTCAGTGTGCACTTCCAGTATTGGATAGGACAATGACAGACCAACGAGGAAATGTAAGGCTGGGGCACTGCAAGCCACCCAGACCCCACAGGACCTGTAGGACACCTGGCAGACAGCACCTGAATACGTGAAATGATGCTCCACACCATCAGCCACCAGACAAAGGCAACACCACGGTGAGGAACAGCTTCACATGTGCTGTGGCCCTGTCATCAACAGTGCCGCTAAGAAGGTGGAGAAACAGAGACATCACATACAGCGGAGTGTTAGAATCTGAGGTAACGGATCTAGTCCACATTTCTCACTCCTTGGCTTGAAAGTTGCTGTGCCCCTGCTTGACTTTTCTGGGCTAGATGGGTCTTGCCCCCAAGTAGCAGCTCAGGTTCAGGTCTGCACTCCCATCTTCACAATCGGGGTGCATTCTAGAGGACCAGCATTACCTGCAGTAATTGTTCCTTTGGTAGAAGGCAGGTCACGTAGACAAATGGGACAAAATACTTTGCAAAGTCTTTTAAGAATTAGCACCCAGTTGGGACCAGCATATGGTGTAACGGTTACGTTGCTGGACTCCCATGTGGTTGTCCGTGGTCCAAGGCCCAGACCTGGCAGCTTGATATGCTAGGCACATGTGCATGTGTGCCCCAAATCCCAAGAGAAGACTGGAAAAGGGATTGTGGCATGGCTATCCCCCCAGGAGGTGATTTCTCACTGTCTCTCTATTCTCTGTCTCTCCAGCAAGTGCACATGCCCTATAGCAAAAACATCTCTAAAAATAAAATAGATTAGCACATGGTCACTTCTACTCACATTGCATTGACCAAAGCAGGTCAGAAGGCCAAGGTCAAAGTCTGAGGTCATGGGTGTATGTCTCTATGGAGTGCAAGCAGGGCCACGCCAGCACATGCTGGTACTGCTGAGGAAAGGAGTGGCTATGACAGTAATGTGCCTACCACAGCTGAAGGCTGGCAGCCGTGTGTTCTCCAGTTGTTTAGAGCAATGACTCGTTCATCTGTAAATAGCCCTAAAATATATTCACTCCTTGATTCAGTAAATATTTACTAAGCACCTACTATGGTGGCAAGAGATAGCATCGACACTTAGGGTACATCTATAAACAAGACACACAGACACTCCTGCCTTTGTGGGAGCTGATCCTTCTGAGGGAGTCACATAACGAACCTCATACACAAGTAAATTTTAGGGTATGTCAGGGGTGATAAAATGGTATTTTAAGCAACCCAGCATGTCCCGACCCGGGGGGACAGCCGAATAGGTTTCCTGAGTGAAGGAGTGAGAGCCGGGACAAGCAGCGTAGTGTTACAACACGGAGACGACCGTGTCATCCATTTATTGTGGGCAGCACGGTACAGCACAGAGGCGACGCAGTGTCGCGTCGTCTACTGTGAGCAGCACGGAGATGACGCGGTGTCACAACTCTTCAGGGTCGTCCGGAGACAATGTAGTGTTACAACTCTTCAGGGTCTCCCAGGTCGTCTGGAGACAATGCAGTGTCAGCTCTTCAGGATATTCAGGGTCGTCTGGAGACTGCGCGGTGTTTCAGCTCTTCAGGCTCTTCAGTTGTCGTCTTCCTGGTTGTCTGTGTCGTCTGGCTACTGTGGGCCAGGCATCGTGGTTATATACACACTGGTGGGCTGTGATTGGTTATAAACGGTGGGCCATGATTGGTTGTTAACGGTGGGTTATGATTGGTTGCTTTTGGACCAATCATGAGGTGCCGGATATGCAAATCTGAGGGATTCTAGTGGCCAATCAGAGCAAGGTTTCGAAGGTCAGGTTTTGTGAAGGGAACCAATCATGGCAATTGTTTGCTCTCTGAGGAACCTCGTCAGACTCGCTGGTGCGCACCTTCCCACACCAGCAGGCTAAGGGGAAGATCAGGTGCTGGTATGTTCAGGACAGGTTGAATATTAAATAGTGGTTAGTGTAGGCCTCACTGAAAGAATGTCATTTACATGGGCAGTTAACAAAGATGAGGGAACTAGCGCAGTAAATCTTTTAGGAAAAGGAAGCAGCTGAAGCAGAAACCTTGAGTGGGTGTTTGTGTATTCAAGAAACCAGGAGCCAGTGTGGCCGGAGGAGGGAGCCAGGGGAGGAAGAGCTGAGACTGGAAGTCCTGCCGCTGGAATGTGAATGACCTTGTCAAGCACTGCAGGAGCGTGGGCTGTTGATTCTGGTGAAAGTGGAGACCCCTGAGAATGACACGTGGGTCTGACTTGGACTCAGGAGGGTATGACCAAGGTGCTCGAGCTGGGAAGACTAAGGGACAGGAGCAGGAGAGGCCATCTGCAGGGACCGTAGCAGCCACCGCAGGCAGTGGCTTGGCCCAGGCTGGGGGCTGCAGGGAGGATGGGACCGTCAGCATCCAAACCGACATTGAAAGTGGGTCCCAGTGAGAGGCCAGCATGGAAGGCGAGTGGCTCCCAGGCTCCTCCAGGGCAAAGGCCTAGCACTGACGTGACGTGACAGCTGGGCCCACCGAGTGGCCGTGGACACACTCTAGTGCAGGAGCAGGGAGGGCAAGCTCTGGAAGCAGCCATGTGATGAGGTTTACTGTCACAGCACGAGAGCACGCTGGCCGGTTCGTGTCCAGGTCAGACTGCCAGGTGCCGAGGGTACAGGGCTGTCAGCCCTCTCCCGTTTCTCTGTCAGCCGTACACCAGCCCTCTCCCACCTTGGGCACTAAGCAGGTTCAGAAAGTTACAAATACCACTTCCTGGGCTCCCAGTGCCAACGGGCAGAATCAGTGAGAGAAAAAATGGAGAAAACTCAGACTCTAATGTGTTAGTTAATACTGCTGCCATTTATGCAGTGTACTATCTCTTTAAGAACTCACTCAGAGCCATATGGTTTATTCCCTGTATACAAATAAGTTACATTAGGGTTTGTTTTCTAAGACCCCTGAAAACCTTAAAGTGCCAACCTTAGAAACTGCAATAAAAACAGAGACTGGGAAAGGTGTGAAGAAGATTTTGGATAATGACCTAATTCTTTTTATTCTTGATTTCAGAGAGATTTTTGCTACAGGGTGCATGCACTCACCAGAGAGACAGACAGATAGAAAGCGAGAAATCACCCCCAGGGGGATGGCCACACCACAATCCTTTCTCCTCTTAGGATTTTGGGTACGCATGCACACGCACCTGGCCTAAGTTTTAAGCTCCTAGGTCCGGGATCAAACTGTGTGGATGACGACCCAGTTCTTAAAAACATACAGAAAACAGGCAGGAGTACATCACAGTATTCCACCACTAACTGGTAAAGGACTCCAGGAAATCTTTTTCTTAGATTGATGTAAGGACAAATGGCTACTGCCAGAAACCAAATGAGAAGTGTAGTTATATACAAAAATGATTTTTTTTTTTAAATTTAAAGAAGTAACTTTCTTTCTTTCTGGTTTGCAAAAGGCTTTCCACATACGTCTTTTTGTATACCATAAAACAAGTATCAAAGGAAAATAAAGTAACCAATCCAAAATGAGTTTGTTTAAAATCAGGGCTACTAGCAAATATTTAGGAAAAATAAAGATGAAAAGAGGGGGGGAATGGTTAGCATTGTGGAGAGAACAATAAGGTTAAGAGGGTTTTTGTCAGAGGGTATGTGTACCCACCGGGGAGAAGATGTCACCAGGACATTGCCATGCAGCACCCCCCACCCTCCACCCTGTTGTGATTTCGGAAACACCCGTGCGCCCAGCCTGTTTCTTAAGCCACCGGGATCTGGATTTGAATCAGGAAGGATACGGCTGGCCACGTGGCATCTTGCTCCCTTAATTACTAGGCCATGGAGCCAGCCCAAAAAGGAAATTTGTAAAGACTAGGAGAGGTTGAGTGGAGAAAGTTTACAGACCCTTGGGAAGCTAAGTCAGTATTAAATGAGACTAAAATGGGATAATGAAGACAATAAAAAGGAACCAGTAAAGGGACAGCCCTAGTTTTGAAAGTCCCTTGTCAGCCTGTGGTACTTCGGGGCAGGAATCCAGAAAGTACTTGAGAGCAGACAAGATCACTGAGCCGTGACTGAGTACATTCGGGATCCCATCAGGAGAGACCCCTTCACTACACGTGGGCAGCACTGGGAGCTGGCGACGTGCGCTAAGCACCAGGGAAGATGGCAGCATCCTCGGGTGGAGCGGGTGGTAGCACAGCATTCCTGTTTCCTGTGACTAATGGACCCCGTTGTGACTTCCTGTAGTAACCCTTAAGACCCTGTGGGATGCTGGCCATCAGACACTCTGGACTCCAGTGTGCTCAACATTCACATTTTCTCCTCCCACCCACGCTTTCTGTCCTCGTCAGCTGTATCTAACTCAGTCTTTCTCTTACCCACAGGATAGATTTTAAACCAGAATTAGCAACATCTAATGTGAATCTTCTCATCTAGAGGAAGTTTACCCTTAGCCAAGGTAAGCCCAGTTCCACAGTGGGGGAGATATCAGTTGTGTCGAGAGAAAAAATGGAGAAAACTCAGACTCTAATGTGTTAGTTAATACTGCTGCCATTTATGCAGTGTACTATCTCTTTAAGAACTCACTCAGAGCCATATGGTTTATTCCCTGTATACAAATAAGTTACATTAGGGTTTGTTTTCTAAGACCCCTGAAAACCTTAAAGTGCCAACCTTAGAAACTGCAATAAAAACAGAGACTGGGAAAGGTGTGAAGAAGATTTTGGATAATGACCTAATTCTTTTTATTCTTGATTTCAGAGAGATTTTTGCTACAGGGTGCATGCACTCACCAGAGAGACAGACAGATAGAAAGTGAGAAATCACCCCCAGGGGGATGGCCACACCACAATCCTTTCTCCTCTTAGGATTTTGGGTACGCATGCACACGCACCTGGCCTAAGTTTTAAGCTCCTAGGTCCGGGATCAAACTGTGTGGATGACGACCCAGTTCTTAAAAACATACAGAAAACAGGCAGGAGTACATCACAGTATTCCACCACTAACTGGTAAAGGACTCCAGGAAATCTTTTTCTTAGATTGATGTAAGGACAAATGGCTACTGCCAGAAACCAAATGAGAAGTGTAGTTATATACAAAACTACTTGAAGACGTGTACTTGCCAGAGGGGGAGTAGGGCACGCTTGAAGACGTGTACTTGCCAGAGGGGGAGTAGGGCACGGTCACGCGACAGTCTCCTCCATTTCTCTGCCCTGTTGGGGTTTCAGGCACACATGTGCCATACTTCATGGATGTTATAATCTGTGGTACTTTCTGGTTTGCAAAAGGCTTTCCACATACGTCTTTTTGTATACCATAAAACAAGTATCAAAGGAAAATAAAGTAACCAATCCAAAATGAGTTTGTTTAAAATCAGGGCTACTAGCAAATATTTAGGAAAAATAAAGATGAAAAGAGGGGGGGAATGGTTAGCATTGTGGAGAGAACAATAAGGTTAAGAGGGTTTTTGTCAGAGGGTATGTGTACCCACCGGGGAGAAGATGTCACCAGGACATTGCCATGCAGCACCCCCCACCCTCCACCCTGTTGTGATTTCGGAAACACCCGTGCGCCCAGCCTGTTTCTTAAGCCACCGGGATCTGGATTTGAATCAGGAAGGATACGGCTGGCCACGTGGCATCTTGCTCCCTTAATTACTAGGCCATGGAGCCAGCCCAAAAAGGAAATTTGTAAAGACTAGGAGAGGTTGAGTGGAGAAAGTTTACAGACCCTTGGGAAGCTAAGTCAGTATTAAAGAAGACTAAAATGGGATAATGAAGACAATAAAAAGGAACCAGTAAAGGGACAGCCCTAGTTTTGAAAGTCCCTTGTCAGCCTGTGGTACTTCGGGGCAGGAATCCAGAAAGTACTTGAGAGCAGACAAGATCACTGAGCCGTGACTGAGTACATTCGGGATCCCATCAGGAGAGACCCCTTCACTACACGTGGGCAGCACTGGGAGCTGGCGACGTGCGCTAAGCACCAGGGAAGATGGCAGCATCCTCGGGTGGAGCGGGTGGTAGCACAGCATTCCTGTTTCCTGTGACTAATGGACCCCGTTGTGACTTCCTGTAGTAACCCTTAAGACCCTGTGGGATGCTGGCCATCAGACACTCTGGACTCCAGTGTGCTCAACATTCACATTTTCTCCTCCCACCCACGCTTTCTGTCCTCGTCAGCTGTATCTAACTCAGTCTTTCTCTTACCCACAGGATAGATTTTAAACCAGAATTAGCAACATCTAATGTGAATCTTCTCATCTAGAGGAAGTTTACCCTTAGCCAAGGTAAGCCCAGTTCCACAGTGGGGGAGATATCAGTTGTGTCTTGGTTAGGCCCAGCTAAAAGACCAGAAACAGAATGTTTTTATCAAAATTCATAACATTTTGATCTGACTTGATAGACTGACTCTTATTTACATATATGTGAAAAATTTCTCCCTGAAGAGTAGCAAAATTAATGTAAATTAATTAACATTCATTAAAGAATGGAGTTTAATGGTTGTTTTAATAATAAAGAAGCTGCTTAAGGCATTCCTACTATAAGTTCTATCCTGGTGGAAAAACATGAATTTCCCAGCCCCAACTCTACCAATGGTATGTGCTTAGCAACAGACAAGACTGACCAAGAATCTAGAACCTCAAAGAATCAGACACAGACAAACGGTCTTACATAGAAATCCCTCAGAGTTTCAGAGCAGTAGTCATTTCATGGGAATATTTAGCAATTTTTATTAGCACCTACATGTAAGGCACAATGAGGAGTAAAAGATTTCACAGATCTGACCAACTGTGGAGGATTCACGTGGGCCAAGAGTGGCCCATGCAAAACCCCAAATCAGAACCTCCTCCTGGGACGCATCATGAAGTGCTGACTGAAGGTATTAGCGGGTCAGTAAATGAGAACAAAGAATTTAGATCCTATCTTTTCCAGACAACACTCCCATCACCTCCTGTAAGATTTTTCCAGTTATCTTCTAGAACGAAGACCATTCACCTCGCAGACTCTCCAGCACTTGCTGACGTGTCATGGTATGTCAAGCCCAGTCCACAAGGTCCACAGCAGGGCTCCAGGCTGGCTTCAGCTCAGTGGTAAATGAGCACCAACGTTGGCATGGATGGCGTGGGTCATGGTGACAAAGTGTTTTTCCCTACGTGGCTCCTCTGGTGTTGGGCGAGGTGAGGAGTCCAGGTGAAGCCTTTCCCACACATGTCGCACTGGTACGGCTTCTCACCGGTGTGGTGTGGCTCCTCTGGTGTTGGGCCAGGTGAGGAGTCCGGGTGAAGCCTTTCCCACACGTGTCGCACTGGTACGGCTTCTCACCGGTGTGGATTTTCTGGTGTTCAGTGAGGCTCCTTTTCCGAGTGAAAATTCTCTCACACACGTCACACTTACATGACTCAAGAGATTGAACATTGTCCCATGAGCTTTCCAGCCTCCCCTGACCTTCCCCAGCCACTTCATGGTCAAGGTTCTGAACTCTTCTATCTCCATGGACCCTGTGGTGTCTCAGGAGATGAGAACTCTGGCGGAAGGCTTTGCTACACACGCTGCACTGGTATGGCTTCTCCCCCGTGTGGATTTCGTGATGCTCCAAGAGGCTGCAGCTCTGGCTGAAGGCCTTCCCACACTCATCACACTCATAGGGCTTCTCCCCGGTGTGGGTTCTCCGGTGCTTCGTCAGGCCTGAGCTCTGGGCAAAACTCTTCCCACATTCGTGGCAAGTGTGCCGCCTCCTCCTGCCCGGGGCACTTGCTGGCTCTCTTGTGCCCAGCCCTCCTGTCCACCGGCTCCTGCACACATGGGAACCTGGGAAATGTCCTCCCCAGGTGATGTGGCGTCTGCCTAGACTCGTTCTGGACACGGCTCAGCGGCAGGCAGATCCCCGCTGTCAGCCCACATTTCGCCTGGAACAACAAACACATTTCACCACCTGGGACGAGTGGTCAGCGGCTGTCAGTCATACCATGCCATGGGCAGAAGCATACCAAGCACTGAGGGGACAGGAGTCACCGCAGTCTAAGCCGAGGGTGAGGCTCACGTGACGGAACCAAGGGGCAGTGCTGGGCGGGGGCGCGTGTGGCAGAGCAGCTGTTGGGAAAGGGCACAGGGACTGAGGGAGCGGGGACGGTGCGGGCCACGCCCTGGGGACCCCTCAGAGCACAGGGGCAGGGCCATCTGTGCAGCCTGCAGTCCTCAAAGGGCTGCTCAGAGACTTCTGAGGGGTCGGTAAGAAACGGAAGGTGGGGACTTGTGACTTGTCACTGTTAAATGACACGGACAGTCCTCTCCACTCACTCCTGGTAGAGCAGGTCCCCAAGAGCAGGCCTCAGAATGGAGCCCTGGGCGGGGGCCCATCGTGCTCACAGCTGTGACCTCAGACACCCAGGTGGCCCTGTCCTGGCCGTGCCCTCACCTCAGGTCGGGTCTGTGGCCAGTCGCTCTCCCACCCCAGGGCTCCAGGCCCATTTCCCTAGGCTTCCTCAGGCAGCGTGAGGAGTGGGAAGGGAATCAACGATCCAAGAGCACCTCCTGGGGCTGGACCTGGAGCCACTGAGGACAGCAGGGCGAGGGCTGCAGAGCTGGTGGGCAGCAGGCAGTCCGGATCCACAGTGACCCGAACCCTACCAGCCCCTGGTTTCAACACAGGTGGCCCTGTCCTGGCCGTGCCCTCACCTCAGGTCGGGTCTGTGGCCAGTCGCTCTCCCACCCCAGGGCTCCAGGCCCATTTCCCTAGGCTTCCTCAGGCAGCGTGAGGAGTGGGAAGGGAATCAACGATCCAAGAGCACCTCCTGGGGCTGGACCTGGAGCCACTGAGGACAGCAGGGCTCAGCAGGGCGAGGGCTGCAGAGCTGGTGGGCAGCAGGCAGTCCGGATCCACAGTGACCCGAACCCTACCAGCCCCGGGTTCCAACACCAGAGGAAACCCCGCCCCTGCAGGGAAATGCAGGCCCCTCGCTCTTACCCAGGGGACCCAGGCGACCAAGGCGTCCTTGCCCTCCTCTCCAGCGTGGTTCTCCTGAGACGAGTCCAGCTGCGTCCACCCAGGGACAAGGGTGAGCGCCACCTCTTCCATTTTCAGCCACCCCTAAAACAGTAAGTAATGGCACTAGTTTCTCTTGTTCTAAATCACTCCCAAAACTATACACATGCCAAGAATTAACATGCCCTTTAAAATACAGCAACCCCACACCTATTTAACCCTATCTCTGATAACCTCTAACAGACAGCTGTCAAAGGAAAGAGAAAGTACATGATAGGGCCGGTGTGCTCACATGAGCACCTAAGCACTCCAGATAATGAAAAGGTTTGCAAAACATGGGTCAATGCAATGAAAGGAATGAAACTGTATCTGTACTTTTCAAGATATTTGTGGTCTGCTGACATGAGGGTGGGGGCTCACAGGAATGATTTTTAAAATATAAAAAAGTCTAGGTCTGAGGTAAGAAAAATCAGAAGGTCCAGGCACGGTGGTGCAGCCATGGCTCAGGGTCCTGCAACACCGGAAGTTGGAAGCCACATGGAACACTGGGGTTCAGTTCCTGGGCTGACCCACACGTGCCAGGCATATATGCCACATGCCCATGGCCTTGGTTGGCTGAAAGGCACACACAGGTGGTGGCGGGGAGCAGTATGTTGAGAGTTCTTGTCTTTCTTTTTCTCTTTCTCTCAGAAGAAATACATAAGTAAACTTGAAAAAAGATAAAGGAAAAAAAAAAAACATACTACAAAGCCTTGAACAAAGATCTTTAAGCAGCACGTGAAAGACTGAGTAAGAAATTAAAATCTAGGTTAAGTAAAGACTGTGGGGCCAGCAGGAAGACAATGGTTAAGGCACTGAACTCTCACATGGCCCATCACAGTTCAAGTCCTGAACCTGGGTCTTCTCCCTCACTTTCCCTTTCTCTCTTTGTTCAAATTAAAAAATAATAATGAATAAAATTAAATGAACGATTCTTTTTGTTGGAGAGGTTTTTGCTATAGGGCACATCTGCTCGCCAGAAAGACAGAGAGACGGAAAGCGAGAAATCACCCCCCAGGGGGGATGGCCACGCCACAATCCCTTCTCCTCCATCTTCCTCTTGGGATCTTGGGCACGCATGCACACGCGCCCCGCGTGAGTTCAAGCCACCAGGTCCAAGACTCGAACTGCAGTCGACTACGTGGGAGTCCAGCGACATAGCCTTTACGCCATCTGCTGGTCCCAAGTGAACAATTATTAAAAAAAAGAAAAAAACAATTGTCAGATTGTAATATAGATAACTTTAGATAAGACGACATGCTCCATCTGTTCCTTAAGTATAAATTCTTGGAGGGCAGAGGCCAGGTGGTTTCATAGCTCATCAACAGCACAGTTCATTACATGTAAAAAAAATCACACAAAACTGTCATTACAACAAAGCCATTTGCATTTGCTAAATTGTCTTTACTGAAGGAAAAAAACCCCATCGACGAAGAGACTGGACACAGGAGTGGGGTCAAAGATGTGAGATGCGCAGAACCCTCAAGGTCGTAGTAAAACGTAAAACGACACCGCTTTCCAGGTGTAAGAAGACCGTGCCAGCAACCTCAGGAGATGAGAAAACGCAAACCCCATGTGGATCGGGCAGCACGCCCAGCAGTCGCTAAGTGTGGAGTGTGGGGCAGGGGAGGGCTCCAGCTCACCTGCGCCTCTGAAGCGAGCCTGGCAGTGATGGCTGCAGCATCTCCTCTGCAGCTCTCTCCCTGGGCAGGCCGAGCAACCTGCAGAACTAGAGGAAAGAAGTTCTGGATGAGTTCTGCCTGGCACTCACCCTCCCTGCCTCGCAGAACCTAAGTTCAAGACTGGGCAAGTAAATTCTTATCAAGAAGCTTATACAAAGTGTGTTCCCTTCCAAAATGCCTGATCCCTACCAGCTCCAAGAGCCTGTGGAAATTCGTTTGGCAGACATATGAAAACCATGGGTAGAGTCCTTGGTAGGAATGGTAAAATGAAAGCAACATAAAAGAAAGAGAGAAAGAAAGAAGAAAGAAAGAAAGAAATACAAAGCTTTTTTTTTTTTTTTTGGAGAGATTTTCACTATAGGGTGCGTGCGCTCGCCAGACAGACAGAGAGAAACATTAGAGACAGAAAGTGAGAAATCACCCCCCAGGGGGGATGGTCACGCCGCAATCCCCTCTCCTCCATTCTCCTCTTGGGATCCCGGGCACACACGCACATGCGCCCGGCATGAGTTTTAAGCCACCAGGTCCAGGATGCGAACCGCGGTCTCCCATGTGGGAGTCCAGCGACATAGCCATTACGCTAACTGCTGGTTCCCAGAAACATAAAGCTTTTCACTGGAAGATCTTTCAGTCTTGATTTGTTGCTGGGAGAAAAGAGACAGCAGAGGCTTTGTGTGTGTGTTAGAATGTCTTCAGTAGCTATTAGGGTACTTTCTGGTTTTATAAAATTAAGAGAGGGCCAGCAGGTGGTCTGGTAGTTGAAGTGCTGGCTCGACAGTTAGTCCTGGACCTGGACCGGAGGCTTGAAAAACACACTGGGGGAGGGAGGCTGGCAGGTGGTAGTTGGAGTGCTGGACTTCCCACATGGCTGACCACAGTCCAAGTCCTGGACTTGGTGGCATGCTTCCTCATTCTTCTCCCAACCTCCAGCTCTCTCTTTGATCAAATTAAAAAATATAATAATAATGATAATAAGTAAAATTCTTCTTTAAAAAAAAAAGAAAGAAAAACATGCTGGGTGCATGTATGTGTGTGCCCAAAATCCTGAGAGCAGAATCAAAGAGAAGGGACTGTGGTGTGTGTGGTCAACCCATCTAGGAGGTGATTTCTCACTTTCCCTCTCTCTGCCTCTCTCCTGCAAGTACATGCACCCTATGGAAAAAAAAAGGAGGTAAGGCTGATCTTGGAAAGCAAGAAATGGCATCTGACTGCATAGTTTGCTCGGATTCAAGACAGAAGTAGAGGGAACCTCAGGGTCCTCTGTAATAAATTGCTTTTGTAATGCAGGGACACGAGCTGGCACAGGCCAGGCCTCTGCTGGGAAATGAAGACTGCATGTTGTATGTCCAGCATGTTCCGTGTGGTCTTGGGAACAGCCCAAATGCTCACAGCCGGTGACGAACATCCTGGACTACGCAGCAGTTTCTTACTGAGTGATTTTCACCTCGTTCTGGTTATAGACCTGACAGGGTTTAGACGATTTATAATCTTCAATCTGCAGCTGGCCCGCCATTCCTGGAATATTCTGGCTGGCTTTACAAACCCTGCCTCACCTGTAACAGTGCTTAGAAATACCTAAAACCGTATCGTTAGCTCATTTGCTATCTTTCCTACTAGAATGCAAGCTCCATGGGTGTGAGAGTGCTGTCCCACTGACAGCTCTACCCCTTGCCACCTCTGGCCACCACAGAGACAGCCGCCTTAGTCACACCTAAACGAATGGATGCCACTGTAATCAAACCTGTATGTCCGGGCTTCATGAGAGTGTTCATCATGATCCAAAATCCCACTTCTAGTCTCAGACTTGGAGTTGAGCAGTAACTGACATACAAAGTAACTATCAAAATCTTGGGCTGTTGAAAATGTCATGACTTTTAAAAAATGGTTTTCGATGGAAAATGCATTATAACTTTCCCAACAACCCAGGACCTCTTTTAGGTGCCCCTTAAATGAAATGACACAAAGTCTGCAGAACTCACGGCCTCAAGGTGACACTCACCTCTCTCTTGAAAGCAAGCCACCAGGTCTGTGACTTGAACCATAGTCAGCCATGTGGGAGTGTCCAGCACCATAACCACCATGCCACCCGCTGGTCCCATCAGTTGAAGTTCTGATTGTATATTTTTAAAACAAATTATTTTCTTTATTATTGAAGTGTGCTACAGTGCACATCTGCTCACCAGAGACAGCAAGTGAGAGCAAGTGAGAAAGCAGGCTGCCTGGTCAAGGACTCGAACCATGGTCGAACATTTGGGAGTCCAGCACCTCAACCACCATGCCACCTGCTGGCCCCTGGCTGTATTTTCTAAGTCTTCTCATTTGTTAGAAATTCCCACTGATGGGACCAGCAGGTACCATAACGTTTACATTACTGGGTTCCCATGTAGTCAACTGAGGTTCAAGTCCCAGACTGTGGCTTAAAACTCACACTGACGCCTGCACGCATGTCCAAATCCCAAGAGGAGAATGAAGAAGGGATTGTGGCATGGTCATCCTATCTGGGGAGTGATTTCTCACTTTCTGTCTCTCTGACCAGCACAAGTGCCCTATAGCAAAAATCCCTTAAATTCATACTGAAGTAGTTCCACGTGTGGTTTGCATGTGCACAAAAATTAAAACTGATACTTTCAAAAGAAAATTAGAAATGCTTTTTATGATCTTGGGTAAAGCCGGATTCTTTTAAAATACACAAGCAGGGACCAGACAGTGGCTCCATGGTAACAAAACTGAACCCATGGGAGCCAGCATGTGGCGTGGTGGTTAAGGGCACTGGGCTTGCACATGGCCGACCATGGTTCAAGTCCTGGACCTGGCAGCTCGCTTTCTGGCTTTCTCTCTCTCTCTCTCACTCTGTCCCTCTCTGGTTAATAAATAAAAGTAAGTAAATTAAAATAAATAAAGTTAAATAAATCCTAAAAAAAAAAAAAAAAAAAGCTAGACCCAAAAGGCAAGGTCCTCATTTACACCCTGAGACCTCTGGGTATACATGGGGGGGTTACCATGACCTAGGCTGGCTGAGGCTGCACACAGGGGTCATGGTATCAAGACTGTGTTGGGGGGGCACACTTACTTTCCGTATGTCATAGAAAAAGTAAAATGTTTAGATATTAATACACAAACAACACAAACTGAAGAAAAAATGGCCTATTCGACCTTGATAAATTGGAAACTACGTCAAAAGACACCAGAAACATGTGGAAAAGACAATAAACTGATGGAGATATTTGCAATACAAGGACAACAAAGATCAATATTCAGAATACACAATGAGCTTCTAAGTATGAACAAAAAAAAGCTCTTAATCAAATAGAAAAATTAACAAGCAATATATTCAAGCAATTCATAGAGGGGGACTCTTGAATGGTCAATGAACATAACCAAAGACCCTTAATCTCATTAGTAATTAGAAAAAGCAAATTGTAAGCCAGTTTATACCCATATATCAGTAAAATATAAAAGTGTTTAAAAGAGAAACTGAAAGTATCTCAATAATATTTTCTAAGAGTGAAGATGTGTTACTCTCATACACAGCCGATGGGTATATAAATTGGTATATTCAACTTGAAAAGATACATAGTGAAGTCGACAGTGTTATGCATATAGCGTGACAGCTTCGAATTATTTAGCCCGTAAGGGCTCTTGTACATGGACGTGAGTGCTAATTGAGTCGCTGCTCTGTAGCTGACACTACTTTGGGATGCTTAGGAACAACAGTGACAGAAAGGACTTTGCCTTCATAAAGGTAATGTTGCAGTGAGAATTGACAAAAGACTGCACCGTAAGTAGAAAACACTTATAAACTTTAGTGGAAGGTTCTGAGAATGGTGGTTTAAAAGGAATAACAAATATTTAAAAGAATTGTATGAACTATGAATAAAACAGGATGACAAGACTAGTCTATTCATGCGCTGGTGCCCGTGAGACACGCACCTCCCTGCGCATCAGGCTTTCTTAAGCGCTTGCTCAAAACTGCGGATTCCCGGGCTCAGGCTCCCCGGGACGCGACGCAAACGCGCTGGGCTACAGCGTCCACCGGAGCCCGCTACGTCTCCTTTTCTGGGACTTGGGACAGGGC